CCAGTTTCCCCCCTCCTTGCCACCGTGATATGTGGGTGCCCCCCCCCCCACACCCCCCCCAGCCCCCCTGGTGGCGGGGGGGAATTCTGGGAGTTGAAGTCCATACATCTTAAAGTTGCTAAAGCTGAGAAACACTGATCTAGGCTTATATCAGATGCCAATTTCTGCTGTGGAAAGTTGGAAGGTGAGCTAAGCCGGTGTAGCACGTACCACATTAGACAGAAGAAGAGAAGCTTAGGCAAGCAAGGATGTGTCACCAAAGATAACTAGATTTTTGCTTTGATGTGCCGGTAGTTATTGGAATGGTAAAAGCTAAAAAGGAGTGGTGAGCCATTGCCTGGATTTTTGTAATGTCTTTGTCACAGACTTCCTCTGTAACTAGAGGCAGGTTGTTTGACTGCTTCATGCTTCAGTCTTGCTCTGCGTACAATGCAATTAATACTATTTAACACCTACTTCACATGGGGTGTAGTGAGACTTAATGAGACCTTTTAATACGCTTTACAATCCCAAGATGAAAGGGGCTGGGGCCAGGCAGGTTGTCATTACAGAAGGGTAGGCAAATGATGTAGCCTGGTGGAACAACATCAAATGCCTCTGTGTGAGCTGTTTAACACAACCCACAGTGACACCTGCTGGGAATTAGTCTGTCCGTCTGCCTCCACCCTAGATGAAACAAACAAAGGATGAATGGATCATGCCATAGGGTGGGGTGGGAATGGAAGTGCTCCTCTGTATGTGTTTTGGCTTGCTTTGGACTGGAGCATTTTTAAAACTTCATTTTTCCAAATGAAAAATGAGATTTCTTTTTTCACTGAGGCAGGGGTCCGGCTTTTAAAAGCAGGAACTCTAGGGCATGGGGAACCTTTGCACATGGACTGGCTGAACAGGAGGACTGCCACATTTTCTTGAAGGCCCCACTTGTGGACAGATCTATGAAATGCAGGCAAAGAACACCCAGAACAAGAGCAGCTGAGCCAGCAGATTCTTCGATGACGCTATCAGATGGAGCACCTTCTTTCCATGGAAGGAGTCCCGGGGTTGCAAAGCTTTACCCTCTCCACCCATCTCAGATTCATCCACCATTTGGCTTCCCTGTCTCCCTGTGGGGGAGGCCACCTCACAGTTACCAAGCCACACGGGTATTGCTTCTGCTCAGATCAATTGCAAAGAGATCAAAATGGTCTCCAAAGCTACCGGCTGGATCCAGATAGCATCTCCTTAGAGGCAAGAAGGGTTTAAGCAATCAGAGCAAAGAACAGCTGTATGCTTTTTCTGCCCATCCCCCCTCCACATCTCCACACCAAAGAGAAGAGATAAAGACACGGATAATGTCCAGGCTGTCTTGAAAGTAGGGGGAGATACCTCAGGAACCATAGGTGGGAGGCCTCCTGATCATCTCATCCAGGCAGAAGGGCATTCTGGGCACTGTCTGGACAGGTTGGCTCTAAAGACAAATAGGTGGGATTCTGGACATGATAAGGCACATGTGCTGACTCAAAGCCAGTTTGCTGGTGGGGGTGAGTTCTGTGGATGGAGCAGAGAGATCTGGAATTGTATCACTGAATAAGGTAGAACTAGATGGGGAAAGTGTGTCCCAGATAGAGAGATGTGTGGTAGGGACTGCCTTGGTTTCAGAGTGGAAAGTAGATGCCATTCCCCCAATCTCACATTTATGTGGGTTTCCCACATGCTTCAGCAGGACCATTCGTGGGGAGGGGTCCAAAAAAATCAAGATGCCACAACCATGCCATCAAAGCCTTGCTGCTTTTTACCTGGGACACTCATTAAAATGGGTGGGACTTTGATCTTGAGGTTGGGGTTACCATCCTGACTTTTTTTACTCCCCTTGCAGACTCCCCTGCATTGTTCAGATGATGAGTGGGAGGGAATCTCTAGACTTTGGGGGAAGAAGGTAGGACAGGAAAATATAAAGATCACTTAGCTTGCAATAATCTTATAAAACTGATTTGGGACCAGCAAATGCAGAACAGATCAACTCTGTCTTCTTACTAAGTAAAATATTATTCGCACATAGCAAAGTAAGTCTAGGCAACTGCTCTTGAGGTGTGAAAATTTCAAATATATTTCACAGATATACGTTGTATGTAAAAAAAAAAAAAGTTTCTATAGTAGAAGTGTTATGCTGCTTAAAATAATATTATGTAATTTCTCTTTAAAGGCCTAACATTGAAGTTAGGGAAACTTGTGACCTCCCAAACTGGATCCCGGAGCCTGTTTTAACTTTATCATCAAATCTGGAAGCAGGAGACTTGACAGAAACAGTAGTATAAGTCTAAAACAGGTTTATATATTGCTTTGAATGCTGCGTTTTAAAAGCTGCTTGTTTCTTAAGTAGAAAAGCAGGGTGCAAATATTTTAAATTAAAACAAAGAATTCCCTAAACCCGGGGAAAATACCCCCAAATCCTGGTCCCACTGATGCAAATGACACTCAAGTGACATAAATCCATCTTCCACTCTGTTGGTGCCCGCTTCCATCAGTGTCTCAGAGACAAACCCTGAAGCCTGACTTCACCCAAAACTATTAACTAGGGCCTCCAGTAACCCAAAGATTACCCCTCTCTGACGTAAATGGAGGATACTGTAGTGGGTTGTATTTATACTATTCCCAGGCTGTGTGGCTTACTTTGTGTGTGTGAAGGCTGCATCCATGCCTGGTAATTGGAAGTAAGTTGTTATTGCGCCGACGTGGAGAGGAAAACCTACAGGGGAATGAGTTTGTTCAGCATTCCTGGAAAGATGCCTAGAATTTTTACTGAAAGGGGTCAGGAGGTGATAAGGAGCAAAATTTGGGAACTGCAGTGCGGCTTTATGAGAACCCAAATGATTTACAGCAAATATTAGATAGAATGTATGACGCAACAAGGAGCATGGATCTGAAAACTGATGTGTTGTTTTTGATGGAAAATGGAATGAATGTTTGCAAGCTACGCATATATGACAAAAATGTTCAACAGGAAGACGAACTGGGGTGTCTTGGCAGAATGTTTGCTAAAGATGCAGAGACGGAGCAATTTTAAGAGGTGCCTATAGAGGTAGAGAAGGAGCGGGTAGCAAGGAAGGAATGTTTGTCAAAAGAATCAAAATGGCTCTGCTTCTGTTCACTTTGTTGTATGGAAGTGAAGGTTTGGTATGTCAGGAGAAACATAGAAGTAAGTGGACAAAGTTAGAATGGGTTTCTTAAGCGCGTGTACTAAAACAAGAAGAGATGGGGCAAGCATGAATGGGTGCTGAATAAATATGGAGTAAATCCAAAAGTGAGAGACTACTGCAGTACAAAAGAAGTTGCATTGAGATGGTTTGGTTAATTAATTTGGCTTACTATGGTTTATAACATATTGCTTACACCAAAGGGAAATAGCGAGATGTGTATGTATATGTTCCCAGGGCCCAATGCAATACATTCTGCTACCTGGAGCAAAGAGCAAGATGGTGCCTTCTCCATTCCTTGACTAGATGGCCAAATGAATGCTTTTTTCAACACTGGTAGTAAGAAGCATCCTCCACCCTATTTTGAGGCAGAAGGTGAGTGTAGCAGCTGCAGAGCAGGCACCTTAGTGAACACGGCTCTGTCTCTAGTCACGACCTGTTGCTCCCCATCTCTCAGCATCTGCCGCCTGAAGTAACAAACTCCCTCTAACCTCTTCCACATGCAGTTTCTCCCCCTGGGTCTCAGCAGTGCCCTGGGGTTTGGAAGGAGCTAAAGAAGCTGAGCCAAAAATCCTGGCTCAGTTGCTGCTCAGAGGAAATCCTGCTTTAAAAGTTATGCAGGGTTTTCTCTGGAGCTGCAGAGTGGCCAATATCGAGACTTTGATTGTTCCTGTAGGCGAGGTGGCATGGCACCTGGCCACCATCTACTTGGCTCCAAGAATAGTTTGGTTTCCCCCTTGAAGAGTGGCAAGGCATGAGGGAAGAACAAGGGTGGAATCAGAGTGCCAACTGGTGTGTATTTTCTGTGCTCTCCAGTTGGCCAGCTGGAGGAATCAATGACCAGCTCTGTAGCAGCAGTGAGGACACGGGCATGGTGGCAGGGACATGTTGCAAAGGATAAAGGGTGTGAGACTGCTGGTTGGTGGAAGTGCTCCATGGCCACTGGTA